GGATAATCAATTTCTCAAACAGAAATATTCCAATTTTTCCCAAAACCTAGCTTACATGCACTTTTCTACAATTTTGCTTTCTCTCCCAGAGCATCATTTTTACAAATAAATCATATATTCATAATCCTAAATTCATATAGAATCACTTAAAACCAAGAATTCTCCAAACAGAAATAATTATAAAATTAGGGTTCTTCCTCTACTCAATCCCCTCATGTAACTCTACATATAAATAATTCTTTTTTTCCCCGTACCTAGATAAATAGGAACTAGGGCAGAACCTCCTCCTCTTTTCCTTAAACAGGGACCGGAACTAAAACTAGGGTAGAACCTCCTTCTCTAGATTCCTCTTGGTCTACAGAAAGAAGGAGAGGGAAAGAAGAGAGAACAGAAGAGAAGAAAGAATGAGAATGAGAGGTGTGTGTAAAATGAGAAGTGAAGCCCCCTATTTATAGGAATCTGCCTCACTAACCCGGAACGGCCCGTTCCAAAAGTGGAACGGCCGTTCTGGACCCTCCAGAACCACGCAAAAATCTCAACTGGAACGGCCCGTTCCAAAACCGGAACGGCCCGTTCTCAATCCCAGCAGAACGGCCCGTTCCAATTCCAGAACGGCCCGTTCTCCAAACCAGAACGACCCGTTCTCCAACCGGAACGGCCCGTTCTCAACTACGTTTTTTAGGCAAATTCTTTATTCCGGAACAGCCCGTTTCACTTTTGAAACGGCCCGTTCCGGGCAATGAATTGGGCCCAAGGCCCATTGAAAATTGAGCTGTTACATCTGAGAAAACTAACTGAAGAGGAGTATGATATTCTGAATTTGAATTTATAAAAGGAAGTTCATGAGCTTTACCCATGCAATATGAATCAGACAATACAGAATCTGGAAAATTATTACAAGGAATATGACTATTTCTTAAAGCTACTTTAAGAATTCTAGGAGAGGGATGACCCAGCCTTGGGTGCCAAAGAGTAAAGCGGGGGTGAGATGAACTCTTCTCAGCAGAAAAAGCTAAAGCAGGCTGAACCTTGTGCATGGGTGGGAAAACATATAAACCTCCTCTAAGTTGCCCTTGAAGAACTGTTTCCCGGGTACCCTGAGTTTTAACAGTACAAAAATTAGGATAAAATTCAAAAAAGACATGATTATCCCGAGCAAATTGTGACACACTAAGTAATTTTTTTGTTATGGAAGGGACATGAAGAAGATTATTAAGAATGACAGTTTTAGAGAATTTAGGACAGTGCAAATATGAATGACCAACATGATGTATATTTAAGCCTGTACCATTACCAATATTAACTTTGTCTGAACCAGTGTAAGTATTTTTGGTCGACAGGGTGGAATCATCATGTGTGATGTGGTGAGAAGCACCTGAATCTGGATACCAAAGAGGATCCACTACTATAGACGGTGTGGCCAGCATTGTAGCATCACCTGAAGCATTGTTGTGATGATACATTTGAGAGGCGTGGGCCTGTGGTTGAGTTTGATATTCCTGATTATACCTGTTCCAGCAATCAAGAGCAATATGGCCATTTTTCCCACAAATTTGGCAAGAAATTTTTACCTGATGCCATGAATTGTGATTATTCTAATTCCAGTTTGTCCTTCCACTGCCTCTGCCACCATTGTTTCTACCACGACCGTTTCATTGTCCACCTCTTTGATTGAACTTGCCTCTAGAAAAACCACCTCGGTAGTTATTGTTGCCTATACCAGAATTGTTGTCATTGTTTTTCCATTGAGCAGGTACTGAGGCAGTGTTAGCATGAACAAGACTTATCTCATT